TTTTGCTTTGTTTTGCTTTATTCTGTTTTGTTTTGTTTTTCTTTGCGGGGCTGGCTGCTGTGGGATCAGCAGTGGGGAGGGATGCCCTGCTGCAGCTCCCTGCCTCAGCATCACTGCCAAGAGCTGCTCAGGGGCACCAGCTCGGCATGGCCCCCTCAGAGAGCACTTTCTGTCTCCTGACAGACCTGGCTGTGGTACTTGTTAATGTCCCAGCACCCCCATGCAAAGAGCAATTAGCCTAAAACCCATATGGTGAGGAAAAGTAATAACGCTAATCAAAATAAATTATGTGAGCACAAGATTTTGAAATTATGAACTTTTTAAACTATAGCCATGACTACTAAAGATAACCTGGTGGTGTATCCAAGGATTCCAAGTCCTGTTTCTAGATTCTGTCCCAGGTAGTGCATGTATCGCTTTTACAACATACACAAAACTATTTAATGCTTACCCAGAAGATTAAAACAGCTTTTTCACAGTTTTTTGTTGGAAGCTCAGAGCAATCTTAAGAATGACCACTGAGATCTGATTTTAAAAAATCAGAGAACTTCCTGGGAATTTTATGGAAACATTCTTTCCAGTGATAGAACCTCTATTTTTGTGCCAAGACGTTGAGGGAAACCCTCAATAGCTGTGCTAATCTTTTCTGGTATGCACATTTCTGGCTAAAGCCAGCTGTGTACAGAAAATTTCTAACATTAGAGTCAGAGCTGTGTCTTTATGCTGAGCCTTCAAAACAAACTTAGTCAAAAAAAGCAGGTGTAAGATTTTTGTGTTGCTGAACAGTTTGTTCTGAAAGCAGTTTTTCATTAATTTGTTTTGAATAGATTGGATCCTTTTACCCACTGCAGGCCTGAAATGGGCTTATTTGCTCATTGCATTTATTTAGGCCTGTTGGGAATAGGAGAAGGTGATGGCCCTCTGAAAGTAAACCTAACCAACATTTGTGCTTCATAAATTTCAAGGCCAAGAGATAAAAGGCATTGTACTCATGTGGACTTTCCAGAGCCAGAGCATTTTCTTTATTTATTCAATTCTTACTCTGAGTCCAATCTCTTTAGCTGAATTTAGACCTCTTAAAGTAAAAATAAAAAGTCTACCTTTAAGTTTTTTGTTTAAATACTCAACCAGAAATTATAGACTATGGTAATGACTAATTATCCTTAATGATTATAATTACCCTATTTCTAATCTAAGTATGTTTGTCTCCAATTGTAGTTGAGTACATTCCCAAGTCATTTACAAGCTGTATCAGTATTCATCACCCTATTTTGGAGGGGAAGAGGGAGGTCACTGTTAAAACCACATTCTTCCAGCAGTGACTTTCCATTTATAGTTAGATTTTGAGGCATACTGGTTCTCTGGCTTTTAACTCAATTTATGTGTGCCACACTTACTCTGTGTGTAGCTTTATAGTTTCGTAACCCCAGAATCACGTGGAATTAATCTGGATGTCATATCCCTGTGCAAAGTTATCACACTAACACTAGTACGTCTATGTATCAACTAGTAATCTCCTCAGAAAATATCTAGTTTGACAAGATGTCTTCATAAATCTATGCTGTTTAGCATCAATTATTTATGTAATATTTTATTAATTGAATGAGATCTTCATTATTTTTTCAGAATTTCTGTCAGGATGTCAGGCTGTGATTACTTAGCTCAACTTGCTTATCATCTTTAAAATGTCATCACTTTTCTACCACTTTCCAGTCAGCAGTATGTTCAATGTGCAGAACGATACTCCAAGGTTTAGCCAAAAAAGCAAATTTTCCATGAGTTGTTTAGTACTGTGAAAACAATTTTCTCCATTCAGCTGATTTTGAGAGCAGTGAAGAACAGCCAGGAATGAGTCAAACCAAGAAGCAATGATGCTCTGAGCAGCTGAAGCTGCTCACATGAGAGGTGATGGGGGCTGAGGTAGCAGCCCTGTGGCCAGGCTGGCCAGCCCTCACCTCTCAGTAGCCCAGTGTGGATGACAAAGGGACTTCAGGCACCAGGGGTGTCCTCCACTCCCCAGATACACAGCAGTATGTGGCTTGTTGTTTCTTTACTCAAGGGAAAGGGCACAATTTGATTCTGAAATATACAGCTTTTGGGGTTTTATTATGTGTTTGAAAGAGGTGATAACAAGGAGAATTGCTTTCCTGCACTTCATCAAAGGTGAAGACAATGAAACAACTGGGCACTGGCATTGTTACAGGTAGTGTGGGACATCCTGTGCTCAGGGTGTTTTGTAATGATTTCGGTGTCTCCTTAGAGGGGCGTTTGGGACCCACATCTTTGCTCTTCCAGGGAGTGCCTGTGACATGCACTGCTGTTCCATGCAAAGTGGCACAGTTACCAGAGGGTGCTGCAGGTGCCCTCACCCAGGGTAATTTCTCATCACCAAGAGCTCATTGACACCTGTGTGCCCAGCCCTTCTCAGGTGTGACCCAGGTGTGGGTGATAAGCTGGGATCTGGAGTCAAGCACAGGATGCAGAGCCTCCCCAGCCCTAGGCTGTCTTAGGGAACTGGGACATTGACACCTCCCTAGCATCAGGAGCTCAGTGTAGGACTCTCTAGGAGGCTCCTCTCTGAAGATGTGGGTCTTTCCAGGCCCCTTGCTGGCTCTTTGGGAAGTTCCCCTCTCAGCTGACATTTCTAGCTGCACACAGAGGAGTTATCCATTCAGGCCAGGCTCAGCCTTGCCATCCTCATCAGGGGATTAAATGCAGTTCTGCTCTTGCTCAGAGGATAATTGTGAGGAGAAATGCATTAAGGATATAGAAATACCAGGGTGTGAGGGCTATGTGAGCACATACTGAGAAAGGCAGAAAAGCACATGTAACCGCAAGCTTATTAAAATAGGAGTGGACATTTCAAAGGAAAACAAGATTAGCATGGCATTAATAAGGAGTAGAAATAGAAAATAATTTTTAAATCTTTATGAAACCACGAGCCACTAAGAAACAGGCTTTGGTGATTCCTTGTGCTTCTTTTTGAGTGCCCAGTCTGGGCCAATGGGGAAAGAAACTGAGCCAAGTGGATTACGAGTCACTTCCACATTAGCAATTCTTATTTTCCTGTCATTAATGTCTGCATCTAGGAGTAATTTACTATTCAGTCCCACATGTATCTGTTTATTCTCCATGTAAAACTACTGTGATAAGGCATCAAGGAGCACATGGTGTACAGACATGTGACAAGCCTGGCTTTATACCCTGTCCCTGCCATTTGTCAGTCTCATTTACTGTGCTGAGGAGCAGCCCAGTCTCGCCACTGTCTTGCTGTATGACTAGGTGGGTTGATCCTGCCTTTGAGCAGGAACAAGGGCTAGAGAAGGATAGCCCCACTTCTCCCATCTTCTGTGATCATCAAATTCTACATAGCACCTGCTGACCTTTGTTTTTCCTTTTACTTCACTGCTCCTTTTTGTGTTTTTCAGGACAGCACCGGGAGGGTAGAGTTGACTGACATTCCTGCACGTTCATGCAAACATTTTGTCTTCTTTGAAATGCATTCTGTTCTGGAATCTTACAATATTGCAAACTTTCACAGAATATTAAAATCTTTTGCTTTATCTAAACACAATAAATGGTTCCATCACCCACTGAAAATGGACTTCTGCAGCTGACATAGGAATAAAGAGAAATTCAGTTGCTGGGGCAGTCTAGGAGTTAACATAGTCATAGAGGAAGCTGGGAACCACTAGTTGTCAAGCTGTTGGATTTATTATTATAATTGCTTCTTAGAGTTCTTCACCTAGTATTTTCCTAAGGTGCTGTTGCAGATTCCTTGGGGTGAATGTTGCCAACTCCTCTATATATCTTGAAACTGGAAAAAATAAATTTTCTCAGTAATTGTGTAGCTGAGCATTAATCTAAGGGTATGTGTATGTCTTTTCCTAATCGAACACAGGAGACAGAGGAGATGTCAGATCACAAAAAATGATACTGGACAAATAACATATTTTAACTTGTGCAGCTATTTGTGATGTGTATAACTGGACATTCAGAATATCAAATTAAACAATGACACTCTTAAAAGAGCCTTTTGCTATATTCATTCTCTCACCTACTTAGCTGAGAATGTATATATAGACAATCCCATCAACTGATTATTACATGTCACTTAAAGTGACCAAAATTCTCATGGAATTTATCTGGTTGCACAGGCTGTGTTAAGGCTCTCTCTTCCCTCTGCAATACACTGGTACTGCTTATGGCATTGGCTGTTATTCAGCATCCTTCAGGAAATGTGTCCCCTCAAAGCATGGGAAAAGGAACATAGCCCTGAAGGAAAATATTTTAACTAAATGTCACCAGATACAAAATATTTCTTGCTATGAGTAGTACTTAAATAGACAATTCTATCCCTAAATGTAATAAGAAAAATGAAATAATAATAGTTTATATTTCCACAAGTTAACTTTTCTTAATGTTGACATATCTTGACTATTTGGCTTAGAATTCAAAGGTAGTATAATGGAAAATAAGCTTGTCAACTATAATACTCTGAAAGCAATTAATAAATGTAATAGAACTCATATTCTTTTAAAATAAATCCCTCTTCCTCACTCCAAGGTTACAGTAATATCAGCTACAGGTAGGCACTGCTTTGGCTCCCAACAAACCTCCCCTAATGGGGTTTGAAAACGTGCTCTTATCAGCATAATATCCCTCTCTAAAATTAAATCTGATGGAGCTGGAGAGGCAGAGGAAGAAGATGTTTCCCACGGGTAGCAGAGCTGAGCCTTTCTCCTTCGTGCTGAGTGCCATGTTGTAGATAAGACTGACCCAGAGAACTTGGTCATCTTGGGATGACAAGAAATGTTTTGTACCAATAAGAGAAATTGATTGCTTGGGGAAAAGAAAGAAATGAGTCCTAAACATGAAATAACATCTTTGCATGTATCTGTGATCCTGGTGTAGCACTACTGCATGAGTGACTGAAGCATATCTGATAATACCCTGTTCATTTGGGAGAATTAATGTGTTTTTCCACTCTCTTTTTACAGCTCCCAAGTCTACCTTTTGTCCCACTGAAGAGACCTGGTGGCCAGGCCTGGTTATTATCATTGCAGTATGCTGCGCCACACTAGTGTTCCTCTTTGTAGTTGTCATCATTTGCTACAAAGCCATAAAAAGGTAAGGCTCCAGATGCTTTTCCTGTGCTTAGGGCAGTGTAGCCATGTACCAAAGCATGCTCAAAGCAGTCATGGGCATGAAGAAGAGAAAAACTAGAAACAGGATAGAGCTACATTGTTCAGATTAATAAGAACTTGCCCTAAGTCAAATTGCTGCAGGTTGCTGGTGAATGTGGAGAGGTTTGGCTTGGCCAACTGTAGAGGTAAAAGCACTGGACTACTTGTATTTGAACACTGCTTCTGGTAGTGTTCAAAATTTACCTGTAGGATGTGAGATTCGTGGCCCAGGTCCTTTACTAATTCTAGCATTTCAAATTAATGCAAACTCTTATAACTCGAAGTCCATGGTAATACGTGTAGTTTTTCATTTGGAGAACGTACTTCTAATTTATTCTTGCTTCAAAATTATAACCTACAGATAAAATTCAAAATCTTTCTCTTTTAATGTAGAAGCCTCTGTGAAGCCTGTGTACAATAGTATGTAGTAGCCCTTTCACCTCACTGTCATTGCAATAGCTGCACTTGCCTCAGCCTCAGGAAGTTAGGAAGCATTGATTTCAGTTACACAGAAAAATATGAGTGAAAACAATTTCTTCGCTTAAATAAAATTACATCTTTCTGATGGAAAAGGTCAAAACATTTAACATTTCCATTTTAAGGTTTCAAATGCAAGTCCAAAGGGTTGATTTAGAAGAGGAGGTAGTTTGTGGGAATTGTAGGCCACGTGGATGAAGGTTCATTTCTCCTCCATTGTTTTTAGTATGGCTCTGAGAACACCCACAGTTGAATATTTGTGGTGTCAATATTTTATACTGTGAGGGTCTTGGCTGGGAGCTATTAGTATATCCAGGTGACCCAGCCTGCAGTAGAGAATGCAGGATTCCCATCCACAGCTCTCATGAGACACTGCAGTGATATCTGAATCTCATCTTGGATTAAATGACAGTTTTTTTCAACTTCATGATTTCTGAGTGATAATATTTTGGAGTGAGGGAAAAAGGAAAATGAATGAAAATATTTTTCATGAAAAATGTTATGTGCATGCAATGTGATTGCAAGAATTTTGTTGAGTCTCAGTGGGGATACCACAATAGTGGAGCACTGTTGAAAAATTTATGCAGGATTTGAAAGAGCATCAAAAAGGGAGAATTCCAGCAAGAAGAGAAAGTCTCTAGTTTAGTTCTTACTAAATTTACAGAAGTGTTTTTCCTATTCTAGTTTAGCTAAAGTGAATGTTTATTATTTTGGGGGAGCTGGAAAGCTTTCACTCTAGCAACTTCTCTTTGAAAAATTATCTTTGGAGGATTGAGATTGGCATCTAATTGAATCGGTAGCACAGTGCAAAGCCTCACACTTGTAGTTGCTGTTCTACCATTGCTGCTCATTTGTATTTGTCTGTCTACTGCCAAATTGTGAATGATTTGTGTGAAGGCTGAAAAATATTTGTATGAGAGCAGTAACTCTCCAGGGCAACTTGTGCCTCACTAGGAATTGCTTTTCAAATCTGCTGTGATGCTGGTAGATGGGAGCAATAGATGGGAGGAACAGAAATTAAATTTAAAGAGAAAAATTCAGAGCTGCCTTGCAAAGGTTTGGGGAATTCACATACAGTCTCATGCTTCATTTCAGTGCAAAATAATTCTGATACTTGATGAAGACACCCATTATTTGGCAACAGCATGAATATCAACCCATAAGTCAGCTGCTTGAACAGGCATTAGGCTCAGAGAGGAGAGAAAATTCCTCTTAGATCTTCTTATTTTTGACATTCACACTGCTGACAAATGCTAAGCTGAAAACTGCTCAGATGTGGAATGGACAGCTATGAAAGAAAATCGTATTAATTATAATTTTAAAGGGTAACTAGAGCATTTCTTTTCATCAATGAGTCCTTCCTAAAACAGTTCTGCTGAAAGAATGCCCTGAAGGGCCTGGCAGCATTCCCCAGTAGTTCATGTTTCTTGATCCACTGTAGAAGATATCTGTCAATAAATGCTGGGAAATAAGATCAGACGCTTCACAAGAAAAGCATCTCTGGCTTCAGCACAGTATTACCACATACTGTGGAGCTGAATTGGCTTTAGCTAATGTGAGAAATCCTTCACTCTTTTTTGCTGGAAGGTAGAAGTGACTAGAGAAAGAATAAGGGGATTAATCTAGGTGATGCTGAAGCCGAGAGTTCCTCCAGTGTGTTCCCAGCTTTGGGCTCCATAATTATGCTCTGCCCTGTCCTTTTTCATACCCTCATCCCACCAGCTCTCCTCTGCACTCCTCTTTCTGGGCCCTCCTTCCTGCACATCTCGTGGAACTGGGACTTCTGTCACTGCAGCATCTCTGACAAATCTCTCTTCTACCTCCACTGAAGAGATGCTAAGGAGTGAAGTAGCAGCAGCCATCCAGTTGTAGGGTGTAACAAGGGTTAAATGCTTTAGTAGGAAAGGGCAGGCAGGGATTTATTTGCATTGAGTCTGGATCTGTTCTATTAATCCCTCACTTTCATAAGAATCAAATTTGGAGTAAAAAGAGAAAGAAAAATCCTATTGTGCTTAATTGAAATCTCATTTACTGGTTTCAAAGGGCCAGACCCAGTCAAACTCTCTTATGTCTGCTTTTCTGTAGCAGGAAGAGAGGTAGTGACCTCGAGGTATCATAACTCAACTGTGTTTTTATTCCATCTGTATATAAGCTGTGTCTTCTGGGGTAGTTTGTTTTCCCTTGTAAAAGCTAAAACTTCAGTGTATCACCCATTTTAGTCACTAAGGTGATTTGTAATAAAATACAACCTAGTGGATTGGTGCTTCTTTGTATATAATAACTACCAGAACCAAGCAAGTACGCTACTGCCTCCATCCCTGCATCTCCCCTGGAAATACTCAGGTTCTTGCAATATTAAATGGTCATAAGAAATGCTGAAATCCAACCCAGTGAATGGATTTGACCACCCTGGTCCATGAGGGAACTTTCACCACGTTGCATCCATCAACGTTAATACTAAGATGGGTTGAACTTTTGGGAATATACATACAGAGCTCTTCAAAAGAGCTTCAAGTAACTTCTAAATTTCCTCTGTGTGTTGCTGGTGACTGCAGCATTGGACACTACACGACTGGCACACCAGCTACAGCTGTGTGCTGCTGCATAGCTCAAGCACCAAAGGAGACCATATGTGATACTGTGTTGTGCTCCAGCATGATGAAAGCAGCCTCAGTTTGGAGAAACAGCTCTTTTCTATGTCTTGGTGTTAGAGGGGGATTTCCATGTTTTTTTTAAAAAATGTAGATTTTCTTGTAAGAATCTTCTCCATAGCACATCAGGAAAAAATTAGTGATATTGACGTTTGTAGACATTTGTAGATTTCTAGGGCAGGCTTAATCACTGGCTGGGGCTAAGCCTCAGTGTAAGCAGTGGGACTTTTCCATACATTTCATGGCTAAAAAAGTGATCTCACAACCAGTGATTTCTGTTGCACATAGAAAGAGCAGATGAATAACTGCTTCAAAATCTAGAATACTTCCAAGTAATTCTCTACCATGTCTTTGTCTGTAAAAACCTGCCATTCTCAATCTTTCCCCAAAAGACTGTAATCAAGAAGTAAAAACAGAAGGTCTAAAGACAATTCATAAACTAGCACAGGGTGGAGGAAACCAGATCATTTCAGTATTATGTGATTTTTGAGAAAGTGCACTGTGAATTCCAGCAGCTCTAACAAAACTTCATCTGGTGTAAATCAGTGCAGATTAAAAAAAAAATCAGTGGAATTCAATTCATTTTAATCAGCTCTGGAGGTGACTGTCTCTTAAGCTTTTTTTAACATCTGCAAGTACCTGAATAATAGTAAGACACTAAGACTAGAGGGAAGTGGGAAGTAAACACAGTAAAGAGGATTAACAAGAGTTGTTTGGTAAATAAGCAACTGAGATGGGGGAGAGCGGGACATGCAGTGTGTAATCCTATTTCTGCAGCTTACTGGTGTGTCAGTGTCTGTGAGGAGAGTAAGATATTTACATAAAAGGGAAAAATAAATCCTTGGCTCCCTGTATAAAATTAAGATAACAGAGCCATCTTTCAAACCTCGAAGGGGAAAGCAAAGCTGAGCATCCTGGTCTTTATGACAAGTGATGCGCCAGCTATTCAGCCTGGCAGGGACTGTTTCAGATGGTTTTCAAACATGTGAGAAATGTATGCACCGTATCTCTGGAGCATCCCTGCAGTCTGAGGTGACCCATGGGCAGGTTGCTGTGCCTGGTTGATGTGGCTCCTTGGTTCTGCTGGATTTCAGGTAGGATGGATCTGTCTGTTCTCAGATGTACTGCAGGGTTTTCTGCCAAAGAGCCCTCCTGCTAAATCAGCAGGGAAACTGGGCTGATGATAGCCAAGTTCTACATGATATACCTTTTATTCACTGTTCCAACTTTGTGAAGTCACTGTTTTATATATGTGTCTCATAGCCTGAGAGAAAGGTACCATAAATGCCTACATAGGCACTTCCCTAAATAGGTGCTGAGTTCACCTTCAAATAATAATTAAATGGAAGAAAATATTGTACTGAAATAAAATGACAGGTCATATTTATACTGTCTTAAAATTCATTGCTCAGGTATTTTTAGGGTGCTTAGCATTCATGTATGATTTATGGCCCCTGTATACTGCAAAATCTAGTTTCAGAAGTGGGAGCAAGGTTCTGAAATTTGACTTTGTTTAACAAGATACTTGCAAGGGGAACACACTGAGACTTTCTTAAGGGGGCCAAGAACTGGCAGTGGGGGCTGTGGTGAGGGTGTCCCATGGTGCAGGGATTTATGTCCCACTAAAAAGGCCATAGCCCTGCACTTTTTCCCCAGTCAGTTTTGTACCACTCACTCTCCCGAAGAGCAAGAACTGTGTAGCCTCTACATGGTCATCTCCTATGAGCCATTGAGGCTGTGATCTAGTCCAAAATCAGTATTAATTGCAATAAAAGTGCTGTTTAGCCCGAGCAGCGAAGACAGAATCCTAAATGTA